CGGAATTGCTGAGGAAGGGGCGGGCGGGGGTGCTCTGCCACACCTCTTCGCTCTCCGCACCTCAGTTTTCCCATCTGTTAAAGGGGTGGGGGACTTTATCCCCTCCCTCGTCCCCTCGGAGCATTTGGGGAAAGCAGAAAGTGGCTTCCCCGTCTCGAACCTCCCATCCCCGCGATGGTTTATGAGAAACTCCTCCTCTGAGCCTCAAACCGGGGCTCCACCCCTGCCTCAGTTTCCCCTACAAAAGGCCGTGCTCAGCTGCAGGTGGCTGGATTCTGGGAAGGTCGGGCACCCAGCTGCCTCTTTCTGAGGCTAAGAACATATTCCCGGTAGCTCAGTTTTCCTCAGTCCCCACCCCGCCTGGGAAAGGAAGGAGGCCAGGTGCACAGGGGTAGAAATGGATCTGCTGGGGCAGAGGGAGGGTGCTGGGCCTACAGCCAGGTGTTCTCAGGGCCCTGGACAGCCCCTCACTCGGGCCCTAACGCTGTTCCTTCAGGCCTGAAGCCGTGGTGGTCCCAGGCAGTGGACCCCCTCCAGACGTGTTCCAGGCTGGCAGGACACGGCCGTCGGCAGGAGAGCTCCTCCAGCAGCTGAGGTGAGCGGTGCCCCCTCTGACTGAGCACCTCCTGTATGCCTTAGCACATTTCCCTTGTTCTCCATATGAGGCACGACTGGGTCCTCACTGGGCAGCCGAGAGAACTGAGGCTCAGAGAAGTTAAGACATTTTGCCCAAGGGCACAGCGGTCTGTGGCATCTGGCTGGTTCCAGAGCCTGTGACCTAGACTGCTGTGCCCTTTGTTCCCACCAGGCCTAGCAGTGGACTTTCTCAGGCGAGTTGAGGGATTGTGACCGTGGAAGGCCCTCTACTGTTCATTCAGGTTGTGTCCCAAGGAAGCGTCTCCTACGTGCTGGGCCCCGAGTGGCCGACTACCCAGCCTGTCCCCTCCCCGCTGTCCCAGACCGGATCCCCTTCCTGGCCGCCTCCGCGTGGCTCAGCTCGAGGCCTGGCACACAGGAGGTGCCCGCGAATGTTCGTCCAGCCAAACTGACTTGAGAATAGAGACCCTGCATCTGGCTGTGTAGACAGGCGGCTAACGGAGCAGCTTCTGAGCCAGCTCTGTCCCCAACAAGGCTTTGTGACCTTGAGCTTGTCATTTCACTTTTCTCCCATTTCACTTCACTCCCATTTTTGTTCCAGGGGCAGCAGTGCAATCCATGTCTAGGGAATTGTTGTGAGGGTAGATGAATCGACATATGTGGGGCGCCTCGAGCAGGGCCTGGCACCCCAGGGGAGCTTTGCAGGTGTCAGCCATTCCGACCTCTGTCCCTGAGGCTCCTCGGAGCTGGCCGGTGCTGGGGCCCAGCTCAGCCCCTCAGGGCCTCCCATCTTGGTGGAGAGGAGGACACGTAGGAGAAAGGGCAGGATGGTGCGTTGGGGAAGACGCAGCATACGCTTCGGAAGTATCTTTGGATGAAAAGAAAATCAAGGTTTAGACTCTGCAAGTGCATATGGCACCTCCTGTGGGCAAACAGCTCGCTTTGCCAGCCTACACTCATCCTCACACTGGCTCAGGCCTATTTTCATTTTACAGACGAAGAAAGGGGCTCGGAGAGGTTGACACACCTGCCTGAGCTCCCAGAGCTGGGACCTGAAGCCAGCCTCCTAGCTCCCGGTCTGGGACACTTTGAGCCAGGACGAGACCACTTGGGTGATGCCAGAGCCCTTCCCAGGGCCTCATCCTGGTTCAAAGGGAAGCTAGGACCCATATTTGTCTGGGTTGAACTACCCTGAGCTGGACCTTGAAGAATGGGAATTTCAGTAGGTGGAATGTGGGTGGAGGGAAGGTAAACAGCCTAGAAGGAGCGACATGAGCAAAGGTGTGGACGTGGGAAGGCAGGTCACAGGAGATACGCTGGTCTCGGCCCTCTGGTCCTTCCAGCAGTATTTGATGTTGGACGTCAGCTTTGTCAAAGTCCTCGTGGGCAGGGAAGCTTCTAGGCCTGGTCTGGCCTGTCCTCGATGCGCAGACTTTGTTTTCAGGGTCAGCTGTGGCTGACCTCTGACCCCAGAGCAGCTATGATTAAAGGGGCCCGTTCCTACTACTGCTGTCTCTTGCAGGGAACTCTTGGGCAGTCCATATCTCCTGAGATGCTAAATTGACCCTTCTTGATTCCAGGGACATTTCTGCAGCCAAGAGCCACTTTGCTAGGCGACAACAGGTGGCAGTGAGGGAACTGAGGCCTACACACTCCAGGCGGAGGAAGAGATAGCACCGGTGGCCAAGGAATGCTGGGAAGGAGCCTGTGTGGAGCCAGGAGGAGAGGGGCAGCCCAGAGCTGGGGAATCCACCTGCTGGGATGGCACACGCTCTGGCCTCCTCGTGCAAGTGAGGGAACTTCCTTCCAGGCAGCTCGTGCCCTCACACGGCCCGGGGAAAGCCTTCAGCCACGTCCCCCCGCCGGCCCCAGCCCCACCACGCCGCTGGAAGGAACCGCATGAGGAATGTGCTAACCTGGAGGCCACGTCCCGAGAGGTTTCCTGCCTGTTGGCTACAAGCCAGAATCGATGCGCAGCGGTGGACCCTAGACCCAAGCCAGCCCTGGAGGCTGGACGGGTCCACCTAAGGGCTGGTGTCCTGGGTGGCCCCCGTCTGACCCCTCCAGCTCTGCCTCCCCAGAGTCCTCACACCCTCATACCCTCGGGACACTCCTGGGGAGAACGGCCTGTTCTGCTTCACCTGCCTGTATATAACTTATTTGCTCTAAGAACTTTGAGAATTCCACTTATTTATTTTAATGTATTTTTTTAGACTCAATTATTTACCTGCGAACTTGTGTTTGTAATAAAGCATGAAATGGTACCCTGGTATTTTGTCTTGGCTGAAGCAGAGGTGGGAGGCACCTTGCAGGACGGGGCTGCTTAGAAGTTAGGGGGACCCAAAAAGGAGAGGGAAGGGGTCCGGGGCAGGTGGCCGGAGCCCTGCATTCCACTCCCCAAGCTCCCGCTGGGCACTTCTGGCTGCTATCCCACCCTCTCTAGGCTTTTGCCTGTCATGTGCCTGGACAGCCATTTGTGGCTTTGACATCTAGGATTCCTCTGTTCCCAGCAGGCCAGTCCCTACGGCCAGGCCTTTCCCAAGAGTGTGTTTGGAAGGAGTCGAGGCTACGAGAATACCAAGACCCCCTTCTTCCCCAGCTGCCCTGTGCCACCAGGAACTGTTGTGAGGCCCAGAGCCAATCTGTCCAGTGAGGGCTGGGGCCAGATGGTCCCAAGACTGTGTACTGCCCTCGTGGCCAGTGATGGGTGCTATGGTGGAGCCACAGCCTGACCCCGGTCTCATCCCTCTCCTTGGACCTTGCTCACTTCCTTGACTGAAGAAGCCCAAGGCTCTAGGATTGCTGCCAGGGCCCAAGAAGCGGCCCACCTGAGTTCCAGGGATAGCCAGCAGCCACGATCACCCCTGCTGGCAGTTCCTGGACCCACAGCCTCCATTTCTGCCAAATCCTCCTGTGACAAGCTGTTCCCTCTTCTCCCGGCTGGCTTGTGCTGGGAGTGGCAGGTGGCCTGAGCTGGCTGTTGAAAAATAATTATTTACACACTGCTCTAATCCTGCCTCGTCCGTGAAGCCAGCCCTGACCCCTTCGTGGAAGGGTAAGATGCTGACACATAGTGAAATCCTACTGTATACTGGCACTTTACCTGTATTAACTCATTTCCGCCTCACAACAGCCCCATGACATAGGTACTGTGATTATCTCCATTTCAAAGGTGACAAAATTGAGGCACAGAGAGAAGGCAACTGACTGGCCCAAGGTCACACAGTGAGTAAGTGGTGGTATCCGGATTTGAACCCAGAGTCTACGGTACAAATGTATGTCTGCGTGTCATAAATATTATTGGTTGAATTCGTGGATCAGCACTGCGGTGTGACCCGAAACAAATCGCTTTCTGGGCCTCAGTGTTTTTCAATCTATAAAGTGAGAGGCGATGGTCCCAACCTTGTAGGGCAGGTAGGAACACTGAACAGACTGCTGGGCTCAGCCCCCGGGGCGTGATAGGAGGCAGAGACTGCTTGTCAGGGTCATCAAAGGGGTTTTGTAATGAGCAGAACAGCCCCAGGGCTGGAGGACCGCAGGTGGGGCAGCTGGGGTGACAAGGGGTGGTCAGAGAAAGAATCCTGGACAAAGGGGCTACTCCTGTAGCTTCCAAAGATGAGTAAGACTCAAATAAATAGAAAAATGCAGGAAGGAACTCCAGACAGAGGGAACAGGGAAGGTGAAGGTATGGCAGTAAGAGTGACAAAGGAGGTTCCCACGGAGGACCCCTATGTGGCTGGAGCCCAGTGAGTGGGGAAGCAAGTTCGCCACCCCACCCCACCCCCTGCCCTCGGAGGTCCACGGTGCATTCTAGGTGGTGAGGCTTGGGGTAAGGGAGCCCAGGAGCAGGCAACACCTCTCAAATCTCAGCAGAGCCTGATGTCAGAAGACTCTCCCTCCCTGGCAGCCCAGAATTCCATGCAAAATGGCTCCCTGCCTCCTGGGAGACCCAGAGCCAATAGCCAGTGGCCAGGCTGGGCAGCTGAGTAGGGCAACCCCAGGATGGCGGGTATGATGGAAGCCTGGCAGAAGGATGACGAGATCCTGACCAAGGGTGTGTCAGAGGCCCGGGGAAGCAGGCATTCCCTGCCCTTGGCACAGGCCCCTGTGGCCCTGGCCAGAGTTCAGAGATCAGAAACTCAAATGATTAAGTCACAGAGATGATTAAAGGGAGGGGAGGAGGCCCAGGAGGCAGGAAAAGGCAAGGTGACAACGCAGTCCCTTGGGTCCTGATTCCTGGGGAAGGAGGGCCTCCTGCACTTTGGGGGGTCCTACTGTGGCCTTCCTCGGTCATACCTCTCTCCACAGGGCAAGAAGTGTGTGTGCCCCTAGTCTGCACCTGCTACTAGGCCGCATTGCGGGGAACTGGGGCCCCAGAAGCATGGGGGGAGGTGAGACAGTGTGCGGAAGGAGCAGAGGAAAATCTGTGAGGGGCGGCTGCCAGGTCAAAGGAAACCCTGAGAAGCAAGACGTCAGCGTTTTGGGGAGTCTGTCTGGATTTTATAGGACAACATCTCCCCTTTTCTTGCCTTTTTCTGTCTTTTCCATAAATACTTAACTGGTTTTGTCAAGGCTTTTTGAGTCCAATCTATGTTCCTTTGGCTAGAACACCAGGCAGAGAAAGGCCAGAAGGGGGCACAGAATGACCCAGATTTACTCAGGTACCATGCACAGACAGAAGCTGAGGCAGAGGGGAGTTTGGTCCCATGTTCAAGACCATGCAGCCTGATATATGCCCAGGCTGTAGACTGGGTCTTCTGTCCTTGGGCTGCCTCTCCTCACACCCCTCACTCTGGAAAGAACCCCAAGGAATGAGTCTCTCTCTCTCTCTCTCTCTCTCTGTCTCTCTCTCTGATTAAAAATGGAGACCAGGTTGCCGGGTTTCAGAAATGGCATCTACTTATGAATAATTCCCTCTCAGGAGACGCCTGTGAGCGAGACAGACACAGCTTCTGGCCCCACAGGCCAAGAGGAGAGCCCTCCCAAAAAACCACTATTAGCGGCACCGGGGCGGCTCAGTTGGTTAAGTGTCCGACTTCAGCTCAGGTCATGATCTCACGGTTCCTGAATTCTAGCCCCATGTCTGGCTCCGTGCTGATAGCCCCGAGCCTGGAGCCTGCTTCGGATTCCGTGTCTCCTTCTCTCTGCCCCTCCCCTGCTCGCACACTCTCTTTCTCAAAATTAAACGTTTAAAAAAATTAAAATCAAGTTTAAAAAAATACTATTAAGTATTAAGATAAAATAATAATAATAATAATAGTTAGCATTTACTGAGCACTCACTAGGTGCTTTCTGCATATGAATTCCTTGGTTCTTTACCGCAACCTATGCAGCAGGTTCGACAATTATTATTCCCATTTTATAGAAGGGGTAACCGGGGAATTGAGTAACTTGCTCAAAGGCACATTGCTACTATATGGCTGAGCTGGGATGTAAACCTCAGGCTCTAAACTTCTATGCCTTCCTGCCTCTCTGATAGGGCATCCATACTGTGAAAAGAGTTCCGGGCATGAGGGAGCCCAGGGTGGCTTCCTGAAGGAGGTGACGTCTAGGCCAAGCTCAAGAGAATCAGTCAAGTGAAGGAGAGCAGACAAGAGCGTTCCAGGCGGACGGAGCAGCAGAGGTGAAGCCTCGGCAGGGAAGGGAGCTATTCTCGGGAGCTCCCTCTCAGGAAGCAAAAGAAGAAGGGGGCATAGGGAAGCCTGGAGAGGGGGAAGCAGGAAGGCGTCGCGCCATCTTGAACCCCAGGTCAAGCCTGAGCACCTGGCATGGGAGAAGGGGCTCCAGACAGAGAGATCTACAGCAGCGGTCACTCTGCGTCACAGCCTCAGGCAGTGAGTCCCAGCAGAGTATGACTGTGCCTGAAATGCCCTCCACTTGTTCCTCATGCCTTTGGATCAGACCGCACTTGCACTCAAGGGCCTCGCAGCCTGGCAGGGAAGACAGACAAGGCCAAGCGAAGGGACAGGAGGTGGGATCCGTTATGGAGTGCCCTTCCAGCTGGTTTGGTAGTGGGGGAGAGGGGGGTAAGGTTTGCACAAGCTGGAACGAGGGAAAGGGCATCGCGGCTGGGGGGAAGGGCATGAGGTGTGTCTGGCCAGAGCTTGGAAGAATCTGAAGAAAGGCAGCCGGCCTGATCAGCAGGGGCCAGGCTGGGAATGGCATCCAATGCCAGGAATTTGAACTTGAGTGATGGGAACCAGCAAAGGTGGCCAAGCAGGGGAGAGCGAGGGCAGGAGCTGGCCTTGGGCTGCCGGCTTGTCGTTGTCCCCTCCTTAGCCACTGCTTCCAGCTCACCAGGGCCCTCCCAGCCCTCTCAGGGGAAAGCAGACTGCGGGCCTCGCCTGCCAGGGACCCGAGCCAAGAGCCCTCAGCAGCTCGGAAGGGGGCCGTGTGCAGGCCCGCCCCAGGAGCCCTGAAGAGGAATGTGGCCTAATTAATTCTCCAAAGCTCAGAGGGCCTCGCCTTGTGGGAGCAGCTGCCAGGACAGGCCTGCCAGGCCGCCACTGGCCCAGCCTGTCGATCACTCAGTGCCGAAGAGAGTGAGGGGGACAGCCGGCAGGGAGCTGGGAGACAGGGGCTTGGGGGGCTAGCCCCTTGCCTCCAGGCACACACGTGTCCTCCGACCCCTTCACAGCTGAACACTGCAATGATGGTAATAGTAACAGCCAATA